CAAGTCATGTCACTCGGCGGCCATCTTTGAAACGCATGCAAGTGCAGCTCCTGTCTCTTTGTATGGGGAAACATCAAATTCTCCAAAACTGTTCACTAAGCTTACGATTAAATTTCATATTTGAAATCACCAAAGAAATCTGACAACAACTGTGTCATAAATGTTGTTTCGTTTGCTCAAATAGCGTTATAAAACACTAGTGACGCACTGACTTTACCAATTAGCTGTTGGCTCTTTCATTCAGAAGGCGGGGCTTCCTGCGATTGAGCGGCCATATTGAGCGTTGCATTTTTCCCCATTCAAAACTATACGAGTGACACGTCTTGGGTATTCTATAGTCTTTGGTTCTGTGTCAGCTGCGTCCCGCCGGATCTGTTTCCTACATTGTTGTGATTTGATCTGAACGAAAACAGCGTATCCGTGTGACGCAGCTTAAAATTATGGTTGAACCCCTGATGTCACATGGATTATTTTACAGATCTCCTTGCTACGTTTCTGGACTTGGGAACATTTCAGTTGTATTGCTGTCTATGGGAGGGTCAAACAGCTCTCCGATTCCATCAAAAATATCTTAATTTGTGTTCCGAAGATGAACGAAGGTCTTACGGGTTTGGAACGACATGAGGGTGAGTAATTAATGACAGAATTTTCATTTTTGGGTGAACTATCCCTTTAACAAGCGGGATCATTTTCAGCTATTAAAACCTTTGTTTTACTCTCTTCTTCATGTAAAGATATCGTATGGCTTCAGAAGATTTGGAATGCAACACGACTTGTTTGTAATGCTTTTATACTGCTTTTTCATGGTCAGTTTTTGCAATAAATACCTGTGACTGTACTTATATTTACCTGTTACGTGTTTTATATTGTTCAGAAGTGGGTAGGTTTAGGGTAGGGGTGGGGTTAGGTGCTCCAATGAAAGTATACATTTATATAAAATTATTTATATATTTTTTTTTTACAAATGCATGCAAACCATTAATTTAAGACAAACAACTGAAAACAATGGAGGACCCTGCACGTTGAAAAAGGACACTAAAGGGGTACCTTGAGCGCCAAAAAGCGACGCCAAGGGGTCCTGACCAAGCGTCAATATGTGACAAGTTGGGAGTGAGAACGTGTTGCAAAATGCACTTAAACGTTTATTGTTTATAATATTTACATGAAATGCTTAGCTGGAAAAATATGCTAATTTTATGTACTTTCTTTGTTATTCTCATCTGATGTGTTCAGATCCAGTTCCAACAGGCGTGTCTTTATAGTTTGAGTGTTTTGGTTTCTAAATGTCTCTTAAAGTTTAATGGTTTCATTCTCTCTGCATCCAGTATTTCACTGCACAAAACACATTGCAGTTGGCACAAAACATTTTATCCTAGCTGAAAGTGAACCCGTATTTAACATAGTGTGGGTTGTTTTACCTTTTGTTTAGTTTTTTTTTTTTTTTCGTGGCTTTTTGAGGATGAGATCATGTTATGCAACCTGACCATGTTGGCATTTACCTAAATTGGCTGCTTTTATTGGATGCACAACCTT